TGAGGATGATTTATTGACCTCTTGAGACTGTGCTGCCGACAGCTATTTGGACGCAAATTTTTCAAAATTAGTTCATATGATAAGAAGTCAGCGGAGAAAAATGCATTCGTTTGTGGAACAGTCATGATCAAAGAAAAAATATATGCGTATTTCATGACGCTGTCTCTGGTTCGCGAAGTTCAAATCCAAGAATTCCCCACATGTAACGTCAGACATGGGCACAGTTTCGTTAGTTGATAATCATAAATTATCGTCATTAACTCTTCGCTAACGAATGAGTGATTTGAATTTGAATTTGACGGTACTAGTATTGGTGATATTCTTCTTGATTAATTAATTAACGCATGTTAATGACGTGCGTTAATTAATTGAGGTGTTTGTCGTGGCACGTCAGTTCGTTAGAAACTTTTGAAAGAAAAATCGTGATCATGCTTTTCAGAGCATGCGAGCGTTTAGATGTTCGGTACGGTACGTATTACGTAGAAAATATTGAATTGTTGAAAATTATCTCACTGATCAGTGAATATTTCGTAATTACTGACTCATGCAAAAAATATGAAGTTGAGGAGATCAATTCTAGCAATTTTCATCCATTCTGAAGAATATAACTGGTGTATATGTGAAATTAACGAAAAAACGAAATATTCACTGATCAATGAGAGAATATCTTCGCTGCTACTTATTGCTTTGATTCAGCGAATTATTGGCATCAAAGTCAATTTTTTGGTAGATGAATTGCGGAGTGTCACGTTGGCATTTCAGCTAGCAGTGCCCACCTATATGTAACTTATTTCTTGATCAGATATGATCAAATGAATATTTCTATTTCGAACAAAGTTTCAGACGGCAAAGAGAAATAACAAGTTTTAAGAGGAAGTATACCGTTGCAGTGATATCCATTAACAATTATTTGCAGAGTCAAATGTTTCGATATTTCATGGTGATTGATTCAATGATAACAGCCGCTTACTTATCGATGGCACTCGGCCGAGAAAGGCATTGGATAGTGCATTGGAATGGGCTCTATCTCTGCATGGATCCGCTGCCATGTTCCGGGGTTGCGCCAGAGGATGCTGCTTTCATGGAGCAGTTGAAACCCGAAGAGCGTTCCAGATACAGGTGAGTACAATAATCTCATTTACCGCTTCACGCATCCAAATTTTATCAGTTCCCCGGGTTGAAATCCCTCCGTGATTATTCTTATCAAACAATGATCCCGTCGTCATACGCTGATGGAAACTACTTGAGTTTCTTCAAACGTAATGTTCGCCAATAGTGTTCTGAATCAGCA